CGCAGGGATCCCAAGCAGATGCTCTGGGAGAAGCCGGGATTCTCCCAAAGCCGCTCCGGGAACGGGAATGCTCACCGGGAATGCCAGCTCCTGCCCGCGGAAAACCCAGACTCCGGAGATGCTGCTGTCGTTGTTGGTTCCAAAGAGGATGACGCTGGCGAAGGCGTTTTTACGGAGCTTATCCAAACGCTGGAACATCCCTGGAAAAATCAAAAAGCAGCCGGGAATGTCGGGAATAGGGAATGTCGGGAATAGGGAATGTCGGGAAAAGGAGGAAAACGGCAGCGGGATCTCACCCGTGATGAGGTTGCAGCTCATGAAGGTCTGGCTGAGCTCCTCCGGGAAGCGGTATTCCGCGTACCAGATGGACCAGCCTTCCTTGTCGAAATGTTCCCAAAAGTGCGGGAGCGCCACGGAGAGCGTATCCTCGTTGGAATATTTCCGCTTGAACTCGTCCATGACGAAGGGGCTGCGGAGGGAAGCGGCACCGCGGGACGTTCGCCCTCTCCCGGCCATTCCGGAGCCTCCAGAGCGGCGGGAGGAGCTGCCAACGCGGCTCGGGTTTCCCAGCGGGAAGCCGCTCCGCCTCCCTTCTGGAAAAGCGGCTTTGCCCTTTTCCAGGCAGGGAGAGGGGCCGGCGCAAACGGTCGGCCCAAAGGGGCCAAACGCGGCAAAAAAAGTGGGAAAAAAACACGGGAATACGGCCGGGATGGATGGGAAGCCCCCCCGCTTCCCATTCCGGCAAGGGCCTCACCTCTTGGGAAGGTGGGCGAAGGGATCCTTGGATTTGGGCTCCGCAGCCAGGGCCTGGTCGCACTCGTCCAGCTCCTCCTCCGGCGCCGGCTTCTTCTCTTCCTTCTTTTCCTGCTTTTTTTCCTCTTTGGGGGGTTTTTCCTTCTTGGGGGTGTCTTTTTTGGGTTGGTTCTCGGCGAATTTCTTGGCTGTGGGAGGGAAAAGAGAGGTCAATTCCCTCCTGTTTCTAATCCTAAGGGAAAGGGAGGGATCCTGGAGGGAAAAGAGGGATGCCAGAGGGGAAAGAAGGATCCTGGAAGAAAAAGGAGGGATCCCGGAGGGAAAAGGAGGGATCCCGGAGGGAAAAGGAGGGATCCCGAGGGGGGAAAAAAGGAGAGATCCCGAGGGGGAAAAAAAGGAGAGATCCCGAGGGGGAAAAAAAGGAGGGATCCCGAGGGGGAAAAAAAGGAGGGATCCCGAGGGGGAAAAAAAGGAGGGATCCCGAGGGGGAAAAAAAGGAGGGATCCCGAGGGGGAAAAAAAGGAGGGATCCCGAGGGGGAAAAAAAGGAGGGATCCCGAGGGGGAAAAAAAGGAGGGATCCCGAGGGGGAAAAAAAGGAGGGATCCCGAGGGGGAAAAAAAGGAGGGATCCCGAGGGGGAAAAAAAGGAGGGATCCCGAGGGGGAAAAAAAGGAGGGATCCCGAGGGGGAAAAAAAGGAGGGATCCCGAGGGGGAAAAAAAGGAGGGATCCCGAGGGGGAAAAAAAGGAGGGATCCCGAGGGGGAAAAAAAGGAGGGATCCCGAGGGGGAAAAAAAGGAGGGATCCCGAGGGGGAAAAAAAGGAGGGATCCCGAGGGGGAAAAAAAGGAGGGATCCCGAGGGGGAAAAAAAGGAGGGATCCCGAGGGGGAAAAAAAGGAGGGATCCCGAGGGGGAAAAAAAGGAGGGATCCCGAGGGGGAAAAAAAGGAGGGATCCCGAGGGGGAAAAAAAGGAGGGATCCCGAGGGGGAAAAAAAGGAGGGATCCCGAGGGGGAAAAAAAGGAGGGATCCCGAGGGGGAAAAAAAGGAGGGATCCCGAGGGGGAAAAAAAGGAGGGATCCCGAGGGGGAAAAAAAGGAGGGATCCCGAGGGGGAAAAAAAGGAGGGATCCCGAGGGGGAAAAAAAGGAGGGATCCCGAGGGGGAAAAAAAGGAGGGATCCCGAGGGGGAAAAAAAGGAGGGATCCCGAGGGGGAAAAAAAGGAGGGATCCCGAGGGGGAAAAAAAGGAGGGATCCCGAGGGGGAAAAAAAGGAGGGATCCCGAGGGGGAAAAAAAGGAGGGATCCCGAGGGGGAAAAAAAGGAGGGATCCCGAGGGGGAAAAAAAGGAGGGATCCCGAGGGGGAAAAAAAGGAGGGATCCCGAGGGGGAAAAAAAGGAGGGATCCCGAGGGGGAAAAAAAGGAGGGATCCCGAGGGGGAAAAAAAGGAGGGATCCCGAGGGGGAAAAAAAGGAGGGATCCCGAGGGGGAAAAAAAGGAGGGATCCCGAGGGGGAAAAAAAGGAGGGATCCCGAGGGGGAAAAAAAGGAGGGATCCCGAGGGGGAAAAAAAGGAGGGATCCCGAGGGGGAAAAAAAGGAGGGATCCCGAGGGGGAAAAAAAGGAGGGATCCCGAGGGGGAAAAAAAGGAGGGATCCCGAGGGGGAAAAAAAGGAGGGATCCCGAGGGGGAAAAAAAGGAGGGATCCCGAGGGGGAAAAAAAGGAGGGATCCCGAGGGGGAAAAAAAGGAGGGATCCCGAGGGGGAAAAAAAGGAGGGATCCCGAGGGGGAAAAAAAGGAGGGATCCCGAGGGGGAAAAAAAGGAGGGATCCCGAGGGGGAAAAAAAGGAGGGATCCCGAGGGGGAAAAAAAGGAGGGATCCCGAGGGGGAAAAAAAGGAGGGATCCCGAGGGGGAAAAAAAGGAGGGATCCCGAGGGGGAAAAAAAGGAGGGATCCCGAGGGGGAAAAAAAGGAGGGATCCCGAGGGGGAAAAAAAGGAGGGATCCCGAGGGGGAAAAAAAGGAGGGATCCCGAGGGGGAAAAAAAGGAGGGATCCCGAGGGGGAAAAAAAGGAGGGATCCCGAGGGGGAAAAAAAGGAGGGATCCCGAGGGGGAAAAAAAGGAGGGATCCCGAGGGGGAAAAAAAGGAGGGATCCCGAGGGGGAAAAAAAGGAGGGATCCCGAGGGGGAAAAAAAGGAGGGATCCCGAGGGGGAAAAAAAGGAGGGATCCCGAGGGGGAAAAAAAGGAGGGATCCCGAGGGGGAAAAAAAGGAGGGATCCCGAGGGGGAAAAAAAGGAGGGATCCCGAGGGGGAAAAAAAGGAGGGATCCCGAGGGGGAAAAAAAGGAGGGATCCCGAGGGGGAAAAAAAGGAGGGATCCCGAGGGGGAAAAAAAGGAGGGATCCCGAGGGGGAAAAAAAGGAGGGATCCCGAGGGGGAAAAAAAGGAGGGATCCCGAGGGGGAAAAAAAGGAGGGATCCCGAGGGGGAAAAAAAGGAGGGATCCCGAGGGGGAAAAAAAGGAGGGATCCCGAGGGGGAAAAAAAGGAGGGATCCCGAGGGGGAAAAAAAGGAGGGATCCCGAGGGGGAAAAAAAGGAGGGATCCCGAGGGGGAAAAAAAGGAGGGATCCCGAGGGGGAAAAAAAGGAGGGATCCCGAGGGGGAAAAAAAGGAGGGATCCCGAGGGGGAAAAAAAGGAGGGATCCCGAGGGGGAAAAAAAGGAGGGATCCCGAGGGGGAAAAAAAGGAGGGATCCCGAGGGGGAAAAAAAGGAGGGATCCCGAGGGGGAAAAAAAGGAGGGATCCCGAGGGGGAAAAAAAGGAGGGATCCCGAGGGGGAAAAAAAGGAGGGATCCCGAGGGGGAAAAAAAGGAGGGATCCCGAGGGGGAAAAAAAGGAGGGATCCCGAGGGGGAAAAAAAGGAGGGATCCCGAGGGGGAAAAAAAGGAGGGATCCCGAGGGGGAAAAAAAGGAGGGATCCCGAGGGGGAAAAAAAGGAGGGATCCCGAGGGGGAAAAAAAGGAGGGATCCCGAGGGGGAAAAAAAGGAGGGATCCCGAGGGGGAAAAAAAGGAGGGATCCCGAGGGGGAAAAAAAGGAGGGATCCCGAGGGGGAAAAAAAGGAGGGATCCCGAGGGGGAAAAAAAGGAGGGATCCCGAGGGGGAAAAAAAGGAGGGATCCCGAGGGGGAAAAAAAGGAGGGATCCCGAGGGGGAAAAAAAGGAGGGATCCCGAGGGGGAAAAAAAGGAGGGATCCCGAGGGGGAAAAAAAGGAGGGATCCCGACGGGTCGCTGCCCCTCCCGTGATCCCGGCACTTTCCCCCTTTTCCCCAGCACTGGCTCCAATGGCGCCCAACTGCACGCTCCTCTTGAGGAAAAGAGCTAAAAATAAGGAATTATGCCCAAAAATGATAGAAAATGAAGAATTATGTTAAAAAATAAAGACTCTTTTTATTGGGAAAACGCTTAAGGAGCGAAGGGGAAACTGGGGTGGGTGGCGGGTGCCATCCCGGTCATCCCTGTGGGAATACCGTCACCTCGGGATTCATCCGGTGTTGGGCTGAGAACGGACACACTTCAACTCACGAGACCTACGGGAGACTCAGGGAGATGGAGCCCGGAGCGATCCCGGCTCCATCCCTCCAGGGACGGCCGGCGGGGCCGGCCGGGATCCGTCGGGAAGCGCCCGGGCTCCGTCGGGAAGCGCCCGGCGAGACTCACCCAGGTAGTCGTCCATGAGGGAGCCGATGGCAAACTAGGAGGGAAAGGGATTTGCGGGAAGCGCGGCGAAAAGCCGGAGGCTCCCGGCATTCCCGATCCCAGCGGATGCCACTTACGATGTCGTTCTTGTCCACGCGGGTGCCCACGATCTTCAGGCGGATCTCGTCGTCCTGCTGGATCACGATGTCCTGAGGGAGCGGGAGGCCGGGATCAGGATCCATACGGAGCCAGGGCGGCTCCTGACCCCCATCCCAGCTCCCTCGGGAAGACTCCGAGTGGAGCCGAGCAGGGAAACGGTGGGGAATTATGGATACCGTCACCCTGGAGCCCAATGGAGCTTTTGGGAAAGTGGCAGACGGGATGAGGAGTCACTTCCGCATCCCAAATTTTCCCTGCCGGACCATTCCCGTCGCAGCCGAGCGCTCACCTCATCCACCGTCTTGTAGCAGGGAGGGTTGGAATTGGGATCAAATTCCATCTCCGAAGGGATGGACTGAGGGAAGACAAGGAATCAGCTGGGAATTTCCACCACATTCCGCCTCCGGAGCGATCCGGAGGTGCCCTCCCACTTACGTGCCGGGAGATGAAGCAGGACATGGGGCCGATCTCCGTGAAGAGCCCGACCTGGAAAACAGCCCCGTGAGGCGGCCGGATTCATCCCGATCCCGAGGGGTTTTTCCGGAGCCGCTCCGGGTGTCACCTTGTTCACTTGTGTCACCACGGCGTCCACCACCTCCCCCTTGAAGGGCCGGAACACGATGGCCTTGTACTTGACGGGATACAGGACGAAGCCGCGGCCCGGCTGGATGACGCCGGCCCCTGAGAAGCACTGGGAGCCCCTTGACACCCCCAGGAATCCCTTGGGAAGCACCAGGACCCTCACCCTCCAACCCCAGGATCCCTAGGGAAAACCAGGATCCCCCAGGAAGCACTGGGAGCCCCTGGGAAGCACTAGGACCCCCCTGAGAAGCACTGGGAGCCCCTTGACACCCCCAGGAATCCCTTGGGAAGCACCAGGACCCTCACCCTCCAACCCCAGGATCCCTAGGGAAAACCAGGATCCCCCAGGAAGCACTGGGAGCCCCTGGGAAGCACTAGGACCCCCCTGAGAAGCACTGGGAGCCCCTTGACACCCCCAGGAATCCCTTGGGAAGCACCAGGACCCTCACCCTCCAACCCCAGGATCCCTAGGGAAAACCAGGATCCCCCAGGAAGCACTGGGAGCCCCTGGGAAGCACTAGGACCCCCCTGAGAAGCACTGGGAGCCCCTTGACACCCCCAGGAATCCCTTGGGAAGCACCAGGACCCTCACCCTCCAACCCCAGGATCCCTAGGGAAAACCAGGATCCCCCAGGAAGCACTGGGAGCCCCTGGGAAGCACTAGGACCCCCCTGAGAAGCACTGGGAGCCCCTTGACACCCCCAGGAATCCCTTGGGAAGCACCAGGACCCTCACCCTCCAACCCCAGGATCCCTAGGGAAAACCAGGATCCCCCAGGAAGCACTGGGAGCCCCTGGGAAGCACTAGGACCCCCCTGAGAAGCACTGGGAGCCCCTTGACACCCCCAGGAATCCCTTGGGAAGCACCAGGACCCTCACCCTCCAACCCCAGGATCCCTAGGGAAAACCAGGATCCCCCAGGAAGCACTGGGAGCCCCTGGGAAGCACTAGGACCCCCCTGAGAAGCACTGGGAGCCCCTTGACACCCCCAGGAATCCCTTGGGAAGCACCAGGACCCTCACCCTCCAACCCCAGGATCCCTAGGGAAAACCAGGATCCCCCAGGAAGCACTGGGAGCCCCTGGGAAGCACTAGGACCCCCCTGAGAAGCACTGGGAGCCCCTTGACACCCCCAGGAATCCCTTGGGAAGCACCAGGACCCTCACCCTCCAACCCCAGGATCCCTAGGGAAAACCAGGATCCCCCAGGAAGCACTGGGAGCCCCTGGGAAGCACTAGGACCCCCCTGAGAAGCACTGGGAGCCCCTTGACACCCCCAGGAATCCCTTGGGAAGCACCAGGACCCTCACCCTCCAACCCCAGGATCCCTAGGGAAAACCAGGATCCCCCAGGAAGCACTGGGAGCCCCTGGGAAGCACTAGGACCCCCCTGAGAAGCACTGGGAGCCCCTTGACACCCCCAGGAATCCCTTGGGAAGCACCAGGACCCTCACCCTCCAACCCCAGGATCCCTAGGGAAAACCAGGATCCCCCAGGAAGCACTGGGAGCCCCTGGGAAGCACTAGGACCCCCCTGAGAAGCACTGGGAGCCCCTTGACACCCCCAGGAATCCCTTGGGAAGCACCAGGACCCTCACCCTCCAACCCCAGGATCCCTAGGGAAAACCAGGATCCCCCAGGAAGCACTGGGAGCCCCTGGGAAGCACTAGGACCCCCCTGAGAAGCACTGGGAGCCCCTTGACACCCCCAGGAATCCCTTGGGAAGCACCAGGACCCTCACCCTCCAACCCCAGGATCCCTAGGGAAAACCAGGATCCCCCAGGAAGCACTGGGAGCCCCTGGGAAGCACTAGGACCCCCCTGAGAAGCACTGGGAGCCCCTTGACACCCCCAGGAATCCCTTGGGAAGCACCAGGACCCTCACCCTCCAACCCCAGGATCCCTAGGGAAAACCAGGATCCCCCAGGAAGCACTGGGAGCCCCTGGGAAGCACTAGGACCCCCCTGAGAAGCACTGGGAGCCCCTTGACACCCCCAGGAATCCCTTGGGAAGCACCAGGACCCTCACCCTCCAACCCCAGGATCCCTAGGGAAAACCAGGATCCCCCAGGAAGCACTGGGAGCCCCTGGGAAGCACTAGGACCCCCCTGAGAAGCACTGGGAGCCCCTTGACACCCCCAGGAATCCCTTGGGAAGCACCAGGACCCTCACCCTCCAACCCCAGGATCCCTAGGGAAAACCAGGATCCCCCAGGAAGCACTGGGAGCCCCTGGGAAGCACTAGGACCCCCCTGAGAAGCACTGGGAGCCCCTTGACACCCCCAGGAATCCCTTGGGAAGCACCAGGACCCTCACCCTCCAACCCCAGGATCCCTAGGGAAAACCAGGATCCCCCAGGAAGCACTGGGAGCCCCTGGGAAGCACTAGGACCCCCCTGAGAAGCACTGGGAGCCCCTTGACACCCCCAGGAATCCCTTGGGAAGCACCAGGACCCTCACCCTCCAACCCCAGGATCCCTAGGGAAAACCAGGATCCCCCAGGAAGCACTGGGAGCCCCTGGGAAGCACTAGGACCCCCCTGAGAAGCACTGGGAGCCCCTTGACACCCCCAGGAATCCCTTGGGAAGCACCAGGACCCTCACCCTCCAACCCCAGGATCCCTAGGGAAAACCAGGATCCCCCAGGAAGCACTGGGAGCCCCTGGGAAGCACTAGGACCCCCCTGAGAAGCACTGGGAGCCCCTTGACACCCCCAGGAATCCCTTGGGAAGCACCAGGACCCTCACCCTCCAACCCCAGGATCCCTAGGGAAAACCAGGATCCCCCAGGAAGCACTGGGAGCCCCTGGGAAGCACTAGGACCCCCCTGAGAAGCACTGGGAGCCCCTTGACACCCCCAGGAATCCCTTGGGAAGCACCAGGACCCTCACCCTCCAACCCCAGGATCCCTAGGGAAAACCAGGATCCCCCAGGAAGCACTGGGAGCCCCTGGGAAGCACTAGGACCCCCCTGAGAAGCACTGGGAGCCCCTTGACACCCCCAGGAATCCCTTGGGAAGCACCAGGACCCTCACCCTCCAACCCCAGGATCCCTAGGGAAAACCAGGATCCCCCAGGAAGCACTGGGAGCCCCTGGGAAGCACTAGGACCCCCCTGAGAAGCACTGGGAGCCCCTTGACACCCCCAGGAATCCCTTGGGAAGCACCAGGACCCTCACCCTCCAACCCCAGGATCCCTAGGGAAAACCAGGATCCCCCAGGAAGCACTGGGAGCCCCTGGGAAGCACTAGGACCCCCCTGAGAAGCACTGGGAGCCCCTTGACACCCCCAGGAATCCCTTGGGAAGCACCAGGACCCTCACCCTCCAACCCCAGGATCCCTAGGGAAAACCAGGATCCCCCAGGAAGCACTGGGAGCCCCTGGGAAGCACTAGGACCCCCCTGAGAAGCACTGGGAGCCCCTTGACACCCCCAGGAATCCCTTGGGAAGCACCAGGACCCTCACCCTCCAACCCCAGGATCCCTAGGGAAAACCAGGATCCCCCAGGAAGCACTGGGAGCCCCTGGGAAGCACTAGGACCCCCCTGAGAAGCACTGGGAGCCCCTTGACACCCCCAGGAATCCCTTGGGAAGCACCAGGACCCTCCCCCTCCAACCCCAGGATCCCTAGGGAAAACCAGGATCCCCCAGGAAGCACTGGGAGCCCCTGGGAAGCACTAGGACCCCCCTGAGAAGCACTGGGAGCCCCTTGACACCCCCAGGAATCCCTTGGGAAGCACCAGGACCCTCACCCTCCAACCCCAGGATCCCTAGGGAAAACCAGGATCCCCCAGGAAGCACTGGGAGCCCCTGGGAAGCACTAGGACCCCCCTGAGAAGCACTGGGAGCCCCTTGACACCCCCAGGAATCCCTTGGGAAGCACCAGGACCCTCACCCTCCAACCCCAGGATCCCTAGGGAAAACCAGGATCCCCCAGGAAGCACTGGGAGCCCCTGGGAAGCACTAGGACCCCCCTGAGAAGCACTGGGAGCCCCTTGACACCCCCAGGAATCCCTTGGGAAGCACCAGGACCCTCCCCCTCGCACCCCAGGATCCCTAGGGAAAACCAGGATCCCCCAGGAAGCACTGGGAGCCCCCTGGGAAGCACCAGGAGCCCCTGGGAAGCACTGGGAGCCCCTTGACACCCCCAGGAATCCCCAGGATCCCCCCCAACACCCCCGGGAAGCACCGGGAATCCCTTGGGAAGCACCAGCACCCTCCCCCTCGCACCCCAGGATCCCTAGGAAAAACCAGGATCCCCCAGGAAGCACTGGGAGCCCCTGGGAAGCACCAGGACCCCCATTGGGAAGCACTGGGAGCCCCTTGACACCGCCAGGAATCCCCAGGATCCCCCCAACATCCCGGGGAAGCACCAGGAATCCCTTGGGAAGCACAAGGACCTGCCTCCCCCCCCAAAAATCCCTAGGATCCCCTTGACCTCCCAGGAGACACTGGGATCCACCCTGGCACCCTTGGGAATCTCCAAGATCCCCCCTAAATCCATCCCCATGGACACAACTCGCTCCTTCCCTCCTGGTCTTTATTCCACAAAGGGAGAAGGGGAACCGGACACCATTTTCCTTGGGAAGAGGGAACACACACACACATATCCCTCAATCCTTCCAGCCAATTCCAAGAGCAAAAACCACCCGGAACCCCCAAATCCCGCCCCAAAGGGCCGGGAAAAGCCCCGGGATGCCGGGAAAAGCGGGCTCAGGTGCGGAAGCGGCCGGCCAGGAGCCCCAGGCGGTCGATGTTCTTGTGCAGGACGCTGTGCAGCACCGCCAGGTACTTGCCCACGTCGGCGTCGCGGGAGAAATCGCGGAAAAAGAGGCCGCGCTCGGCCTTGGAATTCCCAAGA